GCAGGCCAATTATGGAGGAATAGGCCTGGATTGTTACATAGATCTCAGGCTGGAAGTCGATACAGGATCCAGGCACTCGGAAGGGCCGAAGCAGCCCACCCAGACAACGGGATAGAGCGTGGAAAACTTCATCAAACAAGATCTCCCCTGTGGAATCATCCTGAGGGCAATGAAGAGAGAGATCTCACAAGGGAGGCCAAAGCGGTTTTAAGCAGAGTGCAGAAATAAGCAGGTTTCCAGGGCTAGCAGGACCCTTTTCTTAAGGCCAACTGTGCCCGTGGACACAGAACAGGCTCCATTCTGAACACCCATCACCCATTCACAAGCTTATCTTTTCCCATAAAGCTGAGGAGGTTGTTTTCACCTTTTCCAGCTCTCTCTCTCCTTCTCATTCCCATCCTGTCTTTGTTACTATTTTCCTCAAACCACTTACCACAATGCCAGTAGATGGGCTGAGGTCCAGTTCAATAACAAAACGATACTGCCAAGCCAGGAAGGTGACTCGGGTGGAAGGGACAAGAAGGAAGGGCCTTGGGACCACTGGTTCATCTGGCTGCCATCCAGGGGGCAAAACACTGAGGACTGCCAATTCCTGCTCAGACTGAAGCTGACAAGATGGAAGAGGAAGAAAGGGTCGTGCTCTCAGAGAAAACACCGTGTCAGGTGGCCCACAAGCACCTGTAACTCCAGCCCCAAGGTATCTAATACCCTCTTCTGGTTTCTATAGGCACCTACGCACATGTGACATACACTCACACACAGACACATTAAAAAAAGTTAAAAAAAGAAGGCTGAGAAGAGTACCCTCTCTTCTCTGAACCCCAATTCAGTCTGGCTGTAGTTGTGAGGCTGCAGAGAAAGTACGCAACCTCTTTAGCATCACTGTCCTCATCTGCAAAACAAACACGATCCTAAAACCAACCAAAAGTGCTGCTATGCCGTCCAAGGGAGTCAGTCCTGCACAGGAATGTTTCCAAGACCTGCCTCCTATATCCAAAATGACCCTGCACTGGTTCCACTTTTCCACATCCTTTGCTGCACTAGCTAGAAAAATGTGTCAACAAATTTCCCGTAAGGAAGCACTTCACAGGAAAAGCCACCGCCCCTCCCAGCCTTAGAGCTCTAAGGAAAAGAGAGAGAGAGAGAGAGAGAGAGAGAGAGAGAGAGAGAGAGAGAGA